CACTCGAGACTTGGTGTCTCAATTGAGCCGCCTTTCCTTCGGTGTCAAAACGTAAGCCCGACACCAAATAATCCACATATGCTTCACGCTTGGTTTCGATTTATGCACAATTTTGAACGGTGCTTGTTCTTCATTTTTGGTGATGGGAGGCGATACTTGACATTTATTGCCATCATGGCAGCTTTGCTCCGAAAGCATTTATCAAGCTTGGCGTGATTAAGCCTACTGCTTCCAAAAGTCACAATCGGATGCATGTGCGCTCAGATATTTCGTAGGATTGATGTGCATATGGAATTGTGAGTTGCTGCTCGATGCATCCGTCCTCGTGGATCATCTTGAGCGTGAGTTACCAACTCGCGGGCTTCGTCATGTCGTACAAAGTTTTCCTTTTTATCGAATTGCGTCTAGTCTTTGAGTTTGAATGTCTTGATTGCACCCTTGCTGTCCCACCTGGCTTGATAGCATATTCCCTTCATACATTCTGGTCTCGTCCACAACCAGAAGAAGGTACCTGCTTCCACCAAGCGATACTTGCTCCATTAGACTGCAAATAACGAAGTGTGAACGCTCGAATGCGGCGTACTGACGCTTGCCAGGGTTGCTCGGGTAATGACCAGCTTACTATCTTGCCACCCGCGACAAACGCTTGACAATGTAGACATTGATGTAGCAGAGTCGTCTTTTAGCATTCCAAAACCTATCTTTTTGCAAAGAGCGTCATTTGGTACACGGTGCATATGCGCATGTAAGTCAATCTTATTTCAACCATGTTGACAGATGCTGTGAGGTCACCACGTGCTCGATTATAGTGTCGATATCCATGATAGCAGTCTTTTTTTCGGCTACGATTATTTCGCCACAGTCAAGGGTCAGAAAAATGTAGCTTGTCGTAACAAATGTGGTGAGGAGCACCACTATCGTAGCTCATATGCCCAGCATTTTTTTCAGAAGGTAAATTGCATTTCAGGAATTTTGCAAATGCGATTGGATCGTTCTCGTTACCGTAATTGTAACTATCTCGTACGTTGCGTCGCGTCAACGATTATGCACACCGCATCGAGCTTCTCGATTGTCGTCCTTTGCCTTCGCCCAGCTTCGTTCTATCGTATGGATCAATTTTCTCGACCCCGTCAAATGCCTTCCGATGATTGGTGACTCAACACTATTCCGCATCGTTCTTAAAAAGATTCGACAATGGCCGTGCCATTTCTGCGGTTCAAGTAGTTGGCGAGGTGCGCAAGTAGATGTCGAGGCCAAGCCACTTGCGAAAGTCGTTTTGGCTCTTTGGAACCGTCCAGTTGACATTGGCCTTGACCTTGGCGAGATCCGCTCGAAGGCCACGCTACCCAATGAAGCACTCTAAAAAGGGAATTTGATATCGTCAGATCCGGGGATACACATATTTGCATTAGCATACAGCTCATTTGTGCGCATGCACTTAAGCACCGCTTTCAAATAGACAATTTGGCTCTCTTCATCCTTCCTCCCGTGCTCCCACGACTGCGGATGAATATATAGTCGAACTATGTCTGTGCATACATCCGATGAGGCCTGAACAACTGCGTCACAAGCGATAAAATGCTGTTGGCGCATTTGACAGCCCTTAGGGCATCACCAGCCACTCCCAGAGCATGCCGCTTGGAGTACTCACCGCTGTCAGCAGAATATCACTCGCTCTCATCAGTAATTGGGAGTACCCATCGACCAAGTCGAGTGCACTGTACTTTGTACATTCAACCATGTTGTTCTGGAGAATCGTCGTCTGTGCTCCGCAGTCTTCGTCCAGTGGATAACGTGCCACTTCACGCGCGTCTGAAGGGCCTTACCCAAAATTTATCGGACCTCGTCCGACCATGCCACTTGTGGCATACAACGACTACTTCAAAACGTTAGCAGTGCTCAGTAGGTAACGCGCCACTCCATGTTCATCCCGCGATCCATGCTGGGGACTCCTGTCCGATACACCTTCGGTGTCTACCAACTCGGATACTTGACCGTTTCGGTCTAATGCCCGCGCCAATAGCTTTTATGCGTTTCGGCAGAGGTGGGTTCATGACTCGCCAGAAGATCCACCAGGAGACGTGCACGTAGCGCCCAAGGTCTTCGACCTCCAATCAACCCCTGGCCCATGATGTTTTAACCATGCCATAAAAATGATAAGGTCTTACGTTGAATCCAAGTCTAAGACTGAGCAGCGTTCCAAGTCATTAAGGTCAAGAACCTTGATATCGAGGTCCACAGGGACCTTCGGCACCGTTACACATGTTTCCGTCGCTAAGCGAACAGCGACGATGTCGCTCAGCCGCGCTTTCAGCGCCTCAGCATACGCTCACTTCTTCAATCGTGGAGCATCGAGTATAATTGCCCGGCGCCCCGGAGTTGATCAGGATCATCCATTGCTCTTCATAGTCCGTCACGGTCGCATCCACGGTGAGCAAGCCCGGCCTGCATACACGTTCCGTATTAAAGAGCACGGGATATTCGGGGCTGGACCCTGCTGACCTGTACCTCCTTGAGGCTCAACAGAACTAAGTTCTTCCCCAAAAGACCGCCCCGCTTCTACTTTTCTCGCGACAAACAAGACGAGTGGTGAGAGGCAGGTCGTCGGTACGATATACCTTGACGCGCCTTGCGCAGGGGACAACCAATCCGAAAATGATGGGTACAAAACGCCATCGTGTGTTGGAACACTGCTCGGCAGCTTGGAGCTCTGCCTCCTTCTCCTCCTCCTCAGCATAGCTGAGCTCCATCGGCTGAGGCCCGCTTGACGAACTGCTAGAGTGAGCATTCCAACCAAGTCACGCCAACTTACTGTTCAATTTGACATTCAATGCCACATTCACTACTTGTTTGACACGGAAGACTACCATTCTGACAAGGTCAGTGCGAAGGCCCTCCCTAAAGACGGTCACTGTGATAGCCTCGGTAAGATGATCGGCTGCCATACCGGCAATGAGAGTACGCAACTCGTGGGCAAAGCCCGCTAATTTCTTTTTGTTCTGTCGGGCGGCAGGGAAACGCGATCGCGCGCGATATGCCTGATTAAGCGGCGAGAACACTCGTGAAGCCGTAGCCTCAGCTCCGTTCAGGAAGACAACACCGCTAAAACTACGTTATTAACCGAAGTACCGCCCATTTGTGCCCATTCTCGCGCTCGACCACTGAGCTTGAAGATAGTTAGCGTCGCGCGCTGTTGCTCAGTCTGGAGCACGGCAGACGCCATGGCTAAGTCGACCTTTCTCACTAAGAGCAGGAGATTCTCTCCATCCTTGCCTTCGAAGGTACCATGAGCGGCTTGGATCGAAGGGAGGCATCCGTCGTCGACGGTGGACGTATTCGATGCCAACATCCTCTGGTACAGGGGCTCTAGCAGAGCATTTTCAAAGTTTGAGAACGCCTCTATGCGTCGGATCTTTGGAAAGCGAGGTGTTACAAGCCCTCAGGACCAAGCAGAGACATCAGCCTTTTAAGCCTGTCCTGCATGCCCTGGGACATATAGGAGAACTGCTCCATCCTCACAGAGAATCAGTTGTAACGACTCAGGCGTAGATTGACGGCAAACGCTACCAAATGCAAAGGGCTGCCGTAGCTGTTTTGCTTAAAGAAAGCAAAGCTAAGGTCGGTGACCTTCGTTCTAAACGTAGAACTAGTAGGTGCGTAGCAGATCGTCAATCTGCGTACTCCAAGAATAGCTACAACCTTAATCCAAGGCTGATTACTTCTTCCGTTTAAAAATGTAAACTGTACTATTTCTTGTTTTCATTTGCCGCAAAGCCGCCTATATCTAAATGTACAGGGTCTGTATAGTAAGACCTAATTAAATGTATAACTACTGGCTGTTCCAGCCACGTACTGACTTCTTGTTCAAGTGTAGCCACGCCATTGTGTGGTCACATCATTTTGTAGAACCCATATTGTGTGCCCCACACCCTCACATTAGGGTACGTAAAATCTTGTTACACTCCAACTGTTCTCAGTAGCTATGGATTAACAAGCCGCCGGGATAGGCGTGGCCTTATGGCCGACGGCCTGCAAGCCATACTCGGTGATTGTTGATGAGATGACTTTTGGAGTCACGACCTAGCACCCGCATTCTCATTATGGCAAGCAGTTTTTGCTTTTACGATAATCTCCGCAGGAATGATATATTCTCTACGCTTGCACTTCGTGGCCGTTCCCCTAGCGAAAGGTGGTATAAAACTCCACTGTTGAGCTACCAATGAGGTCTAACTTGGTTCTGATGAGCTGGACCTGCTCAGTAAGCCGTACATGACTGTCCGCAAGCACAAGAACTATCGTGTCTGCAAAATAGTTTCTCAAAATAAAATTCGCCGGGATTATGGATTCGGTCCATCCGCTTTCGTCGGCCGCGCGGCGGCAAACCATTAAAAACCTTCGAGTATGGAATTACTGCTCAATAAGCACGCTAAAGTTTTGGGTGAAGCCGATGAAAGGCCGCTAAGAACTGGTGATGTAGTTTACGGCGGTTTGGTGAGAGACAGCTTTCTAGTCACGTTTCATCACAAGACACAAGAAGCTTCAAAAACGCTGTCTCCGCATGTTACCACTTCTCAGGTGGACCACTTGCGCCTAGAGCAGCAGTGGTCGGATCAATTCATACCCTGCTTGAGAATCGTACCTCTAGGAACCCAATACGAGGTCCAGCATCTACCTCAAGCAAGATTGTACTGGAATCGTGAGCTTTGTGACTTGTCCACCCTCTTCTATCGCGCCCCACGGGTAGGAGACAAAGTCGTGCGGCGCATCGGGCGGCGCATCGGGTTTCCAGCTTGGAAGAAGAGCCCAACTATGTTTCTGATTCGAAACCCGACCAGATAGTGAAACAACAGGCTCGGTATATGAGCAGGACACTTGTATTGTAACCTTGGGGTGAGATGAGTGCCAGCCTCGACGTCAAATCGCGCTATAAATTTTTCAAAGCATGAAGCCATTTTTGAAAGTCTGCTCTTGATGTAATCGTATGTAAGCCGCAAATCCTGAAAGCTGACATTCCACCTCATCTTTTCCTAAAAAGAGCCGTATAGTTCTCGGCTGTGACATTAAGCTGTAATACTAGAGTCTTATAAAGAAATAAAAGCTCCGGCCGATCCAATTCTAAGCTGTAACCCTGAAGAGGTATGATATCTTTGGGTCGAAAATATTCACGAAGGGTTTTGTGTACGCGTTTCGCTCTCTGACTGAGTTGGAGGGCCACACACATACGTTATCGAGCCATGTGGTCAACAAAACAAGCTTCTAGCGGTGGATATGCTGCTTTATTGTTTGCCTTGGAGCATGGCTTTCTGTGAAGATGGTTAATGACGCAGATAGTTTATGGCGAAGACGGCTGACTCACTTCTTGTTAAGGGAGGGTGTAGCTCGGTACCTTAACACTTGAGACATTGCTGTTCAATTTGAAAGAAATGCTCAAATGTATCTCAAATTGTGATGGAGTCCCGCGGTCAACAAGTAGGTAAAGTCCGACATTAGCGTGATGATAATTCAAAAAGGCGGGTCTGTAGAGTAGCTGCGGCAGCCTTTCGATATCGAAGACGGTTTTGCAGCTGTAAATCTACCAGCATAAATTTGTTAGAATTACTCGCATAATTAAACTTTACCCGATAAATTGAGTTTAGTTCTTGACTAAATCGTGGCTCTCATCCTCGAGAAAGCGTCTGAGCCATTTTTATGCGATGAACGCGGACTTCACAATTTGCAGGTTTTCTTCGCAAGGTGCCACAGCAACCTCATTTCACTCATGATTTGTGACAGGTGTTACGAACCAGGCCACTTAATCACAATAATCATGACCGCAATGATTTTCAACACAATTGAAAGTGGTATACACACGCGAAGTGATGTCGCACAAAAATCATTATTATTTCATTTATTACGTTCTGACCGCAGCTCAGTGTAAACTGTAAAATTAGCTAGCGTCTGCGCGTTCGGGTTTACGTTTGTAAATTCGCGAGGATAATAAAATTTTTGGGGAGATATGCGTGCTTAGAAATTGCTGATGTGAAAAGCCCCCCGAACACGTCAGAGTGATATACTCAATGTTAAACCTAAGCGTTGTTCTGCGTGAATGTAGTCCATTCGCTTTAACAGATACTTGCTGTGTTTTTATAGTAATAACGGCGAGTCGTAAACCTCGTCAACGAAAACAAGCTTGCTATGCAAGACATGTCTGGATCATTAATCATACCAGCGTAAAGTGCCCCTTGCATATAGCTCGTCTGGGGTTTCAAATATGACGATGACCGCTCGTAATAGACGAAGAAGGAACTGGAGGTGCCAGTCGTATATCGCACGCCATCCTAGTGGTCAACATTCGGATCAATTTGCTCTAGCAAACCGAAGTGGCTAAAATTTGGGTCACATCTTCAAAGCGGAGAATAAGAAGTCAAATCATATTCTACCGCGCCTCGAACAATACGATCTGAGGTTGAGCCATCGCATTTGATCATGATCGATATATAGCTTAAGCTAGCACATATAGAGCGGAAGCTTCATTTGCTCCCGCTGAAACTGTCAGGAATAGAACTAACTCCCATTCTAGCTAGATCTTAAATAATTTAATGTAGCTATGCGCCATCTCGCACTAAATTCTGCAGTCACCCCATGTGAAGATAGATAAACTTTGATAAAAAAAAATTCCTTTTCACATCCGCATAAAACGCTTAATTCTTTCTGACTAGAGCTTTTGCCATTGCTTCCGCATTTCTTGGATCTCAGCAATTGTTTCTCGTCGTTGACGCATGATGCCAAATCGTTTTGAAATAAAATCCCCATTTCGTTATGAATTGTCGAAGTGTAGTCGGGATGATATCGGCGGGTTGTTCAGCATCGATATCGTCCCAACATCACGACCCGATATTGTAGGAATGGGCGCACAAGATTAAACCAGAATCATTATTTCAAGACATAACTTGCGGTGTTTAGAATAAACTCAATTTGTGAAAGCATGTCGCTCCCGTACAGTGGTAAATACGCGCGCACGTGCTTTTGAAGTGTACGCTTTACTACGCAAGTAATCAGCTCCTTTTGATCATTTGAGTGTGGATCGTTCGCTGTTTATTCAGCCAAGTGGGTTCATTTCGAGCAAAAATCATTAAAATATTGCCGAAACGGGGGGATGAGTTTGTACAACACAGGCTTGTTGAAGATAGGTTTGGCCACGAAACAACTTGGACGTATTCTCAACGGTGACGATGGCGCTGATCCAACGAGGTGGACCTTTTTTACGAGCAAGGCACAAAGATCCTAATCAAAACCGTCTTCAGGAAGACCAACCATACAATTCATACCGCTCGAGTGTCATATCTCAGCAGGAGCCGAAACTAGCAGCGAGATTTTTATTCTCAAATACGTTTTCGTACATGCTCTGTATGTATTTCTCTATGAAAATGTTATTCTGAAAGACATCAATCAAGATTTGCATTTGCGATTACTACCATGGGATACAACCCCCTTCGTTGTGTCATCCTGCGTACCCGTGCTGCAGTACAGCAAGCCTTCAGATAACTTACAGAGGTATAAACACAGTTTTGGACGGTTGGAAACAGCTGTAAAGTTCTTCTTCTATAACTTTCAATCGGCGCGCCTCTTACTAATATACGACACTACATCGGTGTGTGACGTCACCATTGTCAGTTTCGACCGGGCGACGCGAAAGCGTGTCCGCTCTCACATACAACGTACTCTACCTCAAGGTTATACTTGACAATTAAAGACAATCAATTAGCCATTTTGCGAGAGAAGTATGGCGATGACAGACGAAGACCGAAGCATCACAGACGACGTCAAAGGTCGCTGGTCGCTTTGGATTAGTAAGGGGTGAAATGAGAGCGTTTAAGGTTTGATTAAAGGCTAGATAGCCGCATCTTTTGTCCCCAAAATCATTTATCAAGAGTTTATTCTATATAATTACACTCACCTAATGAGATCAATACATATAAATGACCGAGCTGACTAAATTTTTTAAATTTGCTTTTAGCCGAGCCTTGTAATTTTAGAGCATCGTATAATTTTATTGAGAATGGCTTCGTTGAACCAATAAGCATCGACGTCGGATATCGACGGGGCTGACGCTTTGATCACATGCCACTCTCTCTCACCCCATGGGACATTGGATAGCTACAAAATAACAACAATTGAAATATGAACTATACATATTACTCTTCGCACTCTAAGCCTTGTTTTGTTTTCAGGTTTGGTTCGCCTAAAATTCACAAAGCAAAGAACTATGAATGTAATCTTAAACAACATTACCAACTAAATTGTAAAGCAATACATCATGTTGATTTTGCCTTGCAGTCATTCGATATCACTGTTTACTTGAAAGAAAAAAACCGCTCTACAAATTTGACACGATATCTCGTTGTATCAGCATGTGATATCCTAGTTAAACCGTTTAACAGATGGACTGATGGTCACCACAGGATTCCGCTTGATATATAAGATAAATTCATACAGAAGTGTGAACGTATTTATTTAAATAGCAACTACATTGCGGCTTTTGCGAACTGTTTTTCTGCCGAACCAGGTTTAACGCGCTTGGTTGATAAAATCATCTACCCGCAAGGAAAAGTTATAAGTGCTAGAACTACGCCAAAGCGTTCGGAATTCTTACGGCCGGTATGTTGGCTGATCTTTGACTGAAATAAATAAGTGTTACGGCATTTGTGGCGAATCTCCATCAAGTGCGGCTAAAGCGAGAGTTTCCTGACAAGCTCAGCCTCTTTGATTTGGTGAGCGTCGCACCGAAGCAACACACATCTTCCGTACGCAATGGTGGGGTAAGTGTGTCCAAGTAGGGCTTTAAAAGCGCGTTAGAAGCTTTTCGAGATCGTCCAAACAAGTATGACGAGAATGACCTGAGAGGCGTCGTGATGATCCTGCCGGAGTCCTGGATATTTATACTCTCCGTCCGATTTTCCATTGGTAGAGAGACATCATTGGTAAAGGGTACACCGAGCCGATTCAACGGGTTGCCAAACACCTTGCACAGCGGGAGCTATGATTTGTAAAGCGAATGGCTCAATTCGAGCGTTTAGCGATGTAGATTTGAAACTTTATCCATTATGCGGCTTTACAGGCCACTTTACTGCTGCGGACACCAGAATACAGTGATGTTTAGCATTGACTCTCGAAGTACAAAGCGTGACATTGACGTCGAGTTGGGCCTTTACCCTGCCGCCACTATACGCTGCCGACAGCGATGCTCATATCCATGAGCATGAAAATACACTTACAGGTCATATCAATATAAAGAGCATGAACGGGATCGAAACGTTAACAGAAAGCGCGGTGCAATACACGACCATGTGTCGAGCCCCCACAATCAATACAAAAGTACGGAGAGTCGTACGTGTCAGCGACGCGAGGACAATCTTCGGAAGATAAAAGCGTTCAGCTTTCCAGCACTCTCGAAGTGAAACTAGTCACTCCAATTTATTAGGTTCTGTTATATTTTTGGCAAATACACCAAGCCAAGTCGCTCCACATAAATTTCCCCATCGAATAATGCCGGTAGAGGCGACCTCTGTGGACGGTTCTCATAGGCTTAAATTGGCTGAGCCGCGTCGACCCTCTTCCAACATCTCAGCACAAATCCGCTGAGGACACCGGATGTTTTGCCGTATATCAGAGAAGCTCGAGAATCTGCACAACCCGATCAATCGGCTGGAGGGGCTAGAGGTACTTCAAGCGGTTCCAAACATAATCGAACCTTTTATAGCGGGATGTAGTTTAGTCTCTTGGTGGCTTGAGACTTTTCGCTTCCGTGTGACTCAAGAGCGACAAAAAGCGATACGGCTATAGTAAGGTCGCGAAAACGTGATTCTTTTTCCTTGATATTAAAAGTGTAGCTCAATTATTTTCTGCTACAACCGTAAGGGGTCAAATGCAGCAAGTTTGCATTTTTAGTCTTGACGACAGCAGACAGTGCATGTTTAGGTAGGTTTATGCATTTTATTAAACATCTTTACCGGGAACAAATGCATTCGTGTGTTTTGCCTATTTTTTGTATCTTCTATAGCTTTTGTATATTCTGTATTTCAGTCATAGCGTCCCACATTAACACATAATGCCTAACCTTTTTGCGATAAAATGCTCAATTCTGCTACGGAAAGTAGCCCGCATCAGAGCATCTAGTCGATGAGCATCGACACCCCTCAGACCGGAAAACTACTTTGTGAACAAAGCGCGGGAATAAGCCAAACTATCCGTAATCAATAATGTGAAGTCAATACGAGCTCAATGAGTGGAGCCATGTCTCTTCAGCACCGGTGCAAGCGCTTCGAATGATACCCTTCCTCATGCAAATAATCAGCGACATGCAAATAATCAGCGATGGACAAAACCGATCTGTTGCAATGTACCTTGCGCATTTTTTTTGCAAATTCTGCTGTAAAGCGCGGGTCTCGCTCGAAAAGGGTTAATTGCCACCGGAGGTTGGCAAAATGTAATATTTAGGAATATTTTATCTTCACCGGAGACGGTGGCCGAGAGATGAGTTAATTCGCCTAATTATCTGCAAAGACTACAATACCGGGATCAATAAAACCTTCTTTCAGACAACCAGATCAATCTACCAGGCTAATCAAGGTGCTGAAGCGTGCGGAAAGGATTTTACTCCCAACAGGATTCGATGTGTGCAAATCAGTGCTTATCCATTCGTAGATGTTGAGTCACCAATATATAGCGCTCATTGAGTTGCTCGTGTTCACCGGTGTAGGAACATTGAGACTTTTTGATAAAAAGTGGATTATGATGTCTCTCATAGATATCCTATTATGTATCTAAAGAAAAAATAGTATGGGCTTACAGCTCTGATTTGGTAAAACAGTGGAGGCCCTGTAGGTTTTGTGCGTCGCGATTCTGTCAAAAACAGTAGACTGTAAAATCGGCATTCAAATGGTCATCTAATGATACGATATCCATGATTATTTCAACGATGGCTCTCGGGCGATAAATAAACCTTCGAGTTTAGTTTGAATGCTTTGACATCGCAGAACTTTGCTTGGTGCTGGAACCAAATTTGAGATTTGTTATCGTTCGCAGTATAAGGCGCCAAGAATGCCACGACATCGCGTTGACCGAAAGTAAAAAAGCTAGGTGCCAAACATCGCGTTGACCGAAAGTAAAATGCTAGGTGCCAGGCACTTTTTTCTGGAGGAACGATGGCGAGTCATGACGAATCTCATCTGCCATGGAGCAGCAGCACTTTGGCACGGGTACGAAGCTACTATGGTTTCCGTGGAGGATAATGGATTGTCAAAAATTGACAACAATGATATTGCTAGATGCGACGAGCAGAGCTAGGTAGGCGGAGGCGATTGTAAGGGACGGTCTTAGAATTTAACGGAAATAAGCGATTGTATATCGCGGTATCCGGAGTGTATTTCCGTTGAATTAGGAACAAATGGCTAAATATATTTTATCGCTGGCGAGACGGTCAAGCAAAGCTGTCCCCTGTGTCAAGGCTGTTGACTAATGAGGGGCAACTGGGTGTCACAGTCTCCCTTGTCAGACTCAGTAAAATAAAAGAATGACCACCTCCTGATAGTATAAGGCCCAGACCTTGAAATCAGAAGAACCACCTTTTTGTTTTGATATCATGGTACCGCCATGCGAAGCAGTGAATCTTTATGGGTCAGTTGAATGGAGTGACCAGGGTAGCTATTTGATTATGAAATTTCCAAACTATTTCCAGCAAAAGTTATTTGGGTCTCGAGGGATTGTTCCCCGAGAAGAAAAGTGATACGATTGGTGCTAAAGGAAGAGCTCATCTTGTCATGCGTCACGTTTTTTTGCCATCGTGAACGCTCGAGCACAGAAAGCGAAGAGTAAAACAGCATTAATAGTGGCCTTACGATTCCTGTGAATCCTATTTTTCAGGATCATCACGACGTGACAACAAGGAATCCGCCACGCGGATTACATCCGAATAAAAGATTGTATCATGAATTTGACATGATTTCCAAAAACAAATATTGCGTCTCACGGCAATGCCCTTACCAAAAAAATGTGCCGTCATTGACGGTTTCTTCTTAGCGTATCTCGAAACACGTTTGGTGCGAAATATAAATATCTACTCTCCCAGCACCGACTGTGTCAGAAAGTCTAACATAAATTGTCGATTCGTGGATGCTTTTAACAATCTTAATGCAGCCCGATTTCATATTGCTTTCGGCCTGATTACTAACGAGCGATGTCTCTCTGGGTGGTGTGATTATTACGATCAAATGTCTCCAGAAGTGGCTAATTATCCCATATATACTTTACAAGACACCAGCGACGTCAAGCATGGACGACGCAGATATTCAGGTCACATCGTGGTTTTGCACAAGTCAACTAACCAAATTGTTTGTAATCATTTATAAGTTTTTAGCAAAGAAAGTCAGATGTAGAGAGCCGCGTCAAACAATTGTGAGAATTGCTCGAGAGAAGGCGCGCAAATAAGCTGTTTGTCGATGTACTCTGGCGCCGACCTAGCTCCTTATTTAATTTATTCATTGGGAAGCAGGGACTACAAGCAGTCCCGCAAAATGACAGGCAGTTGTGCATTTGCCGGTACCTCTGTCTTAAGGTGCCTGAAGGATGTGGCTTGTTACTCGCAAGTGCAGTGCTGACAAAGCTGACGTGGCATGATCTATCCCCAACTCTATCTTTATAACCTCAAATGCTGATGGGTTGCGGCAAAAAAAGGCAGCGCTTAAAGATGTGAGAAAGTCTGATGAATGCCCTATTCTTGCTTTTTCACATACAAATTGGCCATCCCACATCGTGGCGAATCGGCTTTTGCAAAAGATTGCGCTTCAAGGTTGCGCTTTGCTATAAGCAGATGCCAATAAGTATGAGCGCGTGGTTGCTTTGGAGCATGCCATCTTAAAGCTATCGAGAAGATCAATCCTGTCCATGACGAAAGATACTCACAACGAAGTTGCCGCTCGTCAAGTTCAGGATGCACCTACTGGGCTCTATACCGTTTGCGCTGAATACAAATCATTATCCATTACGCACAGCAACGTCGTCAACACATCACTAATGTGATGGTGAACACGCTTTTGCATCTACCACACTAGAAGCTGTCGCATGTCACAGTGGTGATGTCGTGCATTGATGGTGCGATGCGTAGTCAGACGCAGCATGTTTCGATGATAATGTGCGGTCCCACGCCTTCATTGCTTTGCCTTATCCCTACGCTTGCTGTAGTAGAACACTGACCCACAATACACTCAGTGTGCAGTGGTGCCGCATGTACATAATATGATAAGATGGCAATAAAAAAATACATGACGCACGGTGAGTGCTACGTATTGGTGGCCATCATGTATAAGCGGGTATGTGCGTGCGACTGAAATATGCCGAAAGCTTGTTTCTCGCCATACGCGGCGGTAATTTTGGCCGGCCTGCCGGTTCCGATAGTGTGCTGACAGGGCGTCATTCTGAACTCTATTTTTTGGGGTTTCAAAGGACCGTTTAATAATTTCGATACAGTTGTTTCGTGAACAATTTGAGCAAGATGGCTTGTCTCGCTGCTGTCAGCGACAGTGTGAATAATGAGGATAAAGTCGAGCAGAAGGCCTACTTGCACAAGTAATTAGGAATCTGCACAGTGGGGCGAGCAGCTACAGACTGTTTGAAACTGTTATCCTGGTGTGATGATTTGGTCGAGATATGACGCGATGCTTGCGCTTGCAGTAGAATTAGCGAGGAAATCGATCTCATTATTTTTGTGATTTCTACGGCTGCCAATAAAAACGAACACGAAATCCGAAAATTGTACAGTGGGGATGCTGAGCGCAGTGATCGCCTCCTTTCTGGGTGATGGCTAAGCCAAGCGAAATTGGGGGTTGTTTGATCAAACTTTAGACAGTCACTAATACCGTAGCCATCGGACAACACCTTAGCATCCTCAAAGAGCACCTTTGACCGCATCGGTTACGAAGACCGCGCTTTTATTGGGTGATCGTTAGGCTATCCGATTTGATCTCAGTGCAATTGTGCACTATAAGAGTAGTCACCGTATAGTGCAGAGGCGTAATAATTGCTTAATAAGCAGGCTTTTGCGCAGTGTTTAAAATGACAAAGAAAGGTTCAGCCCCGGTCTGGTTTAAATCTTAGTGGGGTGTAACGGGCGAGTACTGCAAAATTGTATATTTAACCACCTTCGGTACAATTCAACGGATTTCACGCTACACTTGGCTTAAATATGAATCAGTGCAATCATAAGATTTTCGGCGTTTATGAATATAATAGAACACTAAAGAAAGAGGATCCGTTCCGAACATGAGCTCCTTGCCGCACGTTAAATAATCAAGACAGTTTTGTAATGAAGATAGAAAGCGTACATAATCAGTATCTGTCTGGATAGAATTAATTTTGAATATATGTTCTTTTGAAATAGCAAGGCAAACTAAAAGATGCTACTTCTATAGAGACTTACGGAATAGCTGCTGACAGGGGCCTTTGAACAAACCCCTGTGATTTTTAAACGGGGACGCTTAGTAATTTAAAGCTTACTCTGTGCAGAGTGCACGGCAAACCCATTAAAGCTGCCTTCAAAATGCTGTTTCTACCTATATATACTCTTAAAGAGCTAGACGCTTTACAAAATTGGCCATCATTTTAATCTTGCTAGTTGTTTGGTTTAAGCTTTTCGGGAGGTGTCTCACCAGCGCATTTTTATCAGCGGTGAAAGCCTCCACTGTAACAGCGTTACACGTGCCCTTGAGAGAAAGGGCGGGCGGCACAATCTTGTGCGACCGTACATAGGTGTGTATTACACAGTTAGTTTAATAACGCAGTAGTGTGGCTACACCATAATAAGAAGCCACCACGTGTAGGATTGCCAGTAGTAATGCATATAACTGTATTAATCAGGTTTTTTGCTATTATTAATCAGGTTTTGCTTTATTAATCAGGTTTCGCTATATTAATCAGGTATTACTATATTGATTAGAATTTCAGGTATTGGCGGCTCTGACTCTGAACAGAATTGTTCGTTTACCTTGGTAAGGCTTTAGTACTTATAAGTAGCGGATTGCGCTCCGCTACACTAGGACTGGTATTTGGAAAGAACGTAGGGTCGGTTACATTAGCTTATCTTCCCTTAAGCAAAGAGCTACAGTAGCCCCGCTGCATTCAAGTTCTCAATACCCTGGCTCTTAAGCCGCATATTGCGTAATACCGCTGGACCATCTAAAGTTGAAGGTTTAGTCAGCGCGTCTTGCTGTCCCTAGACATGCAGATACAGTTATTTCAGGACTCGGTCGTCGAGTGGTAACAAGTGTGAACGGAGGCAGTGAGTTTGCTGTGGCTTTGTACCACGCACAGAGAGTATCTTGAGTCTGCGTGCTCGTGGTAACAAACAAACAGGCTGGATTTTACAACCACTCTTGACCCAAAATCACACAAGTTTTACAATTAAACATCAAACTTGCTGAGAAGATAACTAAACCTTCGTTTTACCAAAGCAATAATAAAACCTTACTTAGCAAATTTGTTGTGGCTAGCAACTCAAATGTCCACCTACCACCCCAATCTCGTACCTAGTGCTACAAAATTGACATCATTACGGTACTTCATCACTTTTTTCTAGATCCAGCCTTCAATGTAAGAGCAATAGTGTTTTTTACGTACAGAAAACGGGTCCCGTACCACCCTCACTTGAGACGCGAGCCTCATTTGGGTTTCAAAGCTGACGTCTTTTCTTGAAACCCAACAGACATAGTGGTAGCTCTTCGAGTTCCAGCTCAACCTTAGTATCTAGGCACATTGCTCGACGAGCCGCCAAGTTGGACACGATACTTGTAGCCGATGCCATGCTTGTTTGGTAGAGGGTGATGCGCTCATTGATGAGAATAGTCATAGTGACTCACCGAGTCTCGACACATTACCTATGGCCGTGCCGCTCTTCGTCACACTGTTCACTCTCACCTTCGCCTGACACCAGCAGAGGCTACGTCGATATGTGATCTTTACGAGCAATGTTTATTTGGTACTTTGGCCTAAGAACATAATTTGACTAATTTTTTTCGGGAATGGGTTGAGAAGGAATTGGGCCTACCAAACCTGTCTTACGAAATATGGCGGATGACTAGAACATCGCTTGATGTTTGACATAGCGTTGTTAAGCGCGACGTCGATGTCACCGTTCTAATATTCAAAATCAGTCATGATCGTGCTGATACAACTACCGGCAGTCTCGAGAAACGAGGTCGGGCTCAATTCTTTAATCCTGCCGCTTAAACACTTGTCCTACGCACCTTTTCTTTTTGGAGCATCAGCACTCTGATGTCGTACCTGATACCACCACATAGCTGTAGGTGGTACTCCTTCACGGTGGTACTTAACCAAGGCTTCTGAGTAAGTCCGAAAGACAATAGTATAATGTGTACGTAAACCAAAACAGTGGGTCCCTGGGATATATTGGGTAGCCCGAATTCAGCAGTTGAGTCAGCCCAAATATTCCGAATTATAGGCCGTCATGATTATCTAAGTGCATTTTATTAAATATCACTTTTGCAATATAATCGTAGAATAATTATCAAAATTTACATTTAGTCGAGTCTGATCCTGGAGCCTTTCACATTTACTTATCCTCTGATTTACAGATTAACAATTCCCTAAACGTCAATGGTTACCCGCAGCAAGCCAAGCGTATTTGCGGCCTTCGGCCACATGCGCGTCAGTGATGTGCTAGACTCCGAAGACGAAAGCGCTGAAGAGCGACTGCAAGAGCGCAAGGAAAAGCAGAAGCAGAAAAAAAAGTCGCGCAGTAAGAAGAAGAGCAGGCACGACCGTCGCAGACTTATGCTGATTAGCTCCTCATTACACTGACGTTAAACCGCGGTTTTGTGCATTTACAGTGACTCTGCACAACTCAAAGACTTGGCTTTTGTCTCAGCGTCTAAGCCTAGGAAGGGCAAGACCAAGACTAAGAAGTATATGACAGGGGCTAATGCACACTCTCGCTCACCTTCTGGGTCGTCAACTGAAGAAGCGCAGGCTACGAACTGCTTAGGCGACAAAAGAGAGGTGGTAAATTCTTGTGAAGGTTTTGTAGCTGATACGACCAAGCCACAACAAATGTTACAGAAGGTGAGATCAAGCAAGTGCCTGTTAAAGGTGTCGTTATGATTCTTGATGGCAATGTTGATTATTGGTCCTCACACATTGCATTTAGAGCGCTGCATTATTTTGTGATATTGAGAAAGAGCTGCAGCCTACAAATCAGCCGCAACAGACAAAGGTGATGTTGGAGTAGGAGTTGGCAGACTAGCGACTTTAAGGGCTTTACACGGTGAATATTTGACTCTAGGTCACGTCTCCACCAAAGCAACAGCAGCAGCAAAATATTGCATCGTCTCCAGGGCAGAGTGCTGGCAGGATGCAATCGTCATCAGAGACAGAGCTAGGTGCCGTATACACGCCGTCGCACATCACGATTACTCGTGTGGATGGCCAGATGAAGCGCACGGTATCAGTGACGGAAGTAATGGACCAGCTTCTCCGATACACGCAGCAGAATACGCAGCTGCTTGCGGTGCAAGAACAACTTGGGGTGCGTAACTTAATTTCGACGCGAAAGCGATGAAAAGTGCCTAATGACGTCCCGTGTGCATATGCTATCCATATTATTGACACATAGCACGCAAACCGCAATTTGCAGGACCAATTACAGCGCAGCGCTGGTACGTGCACACGTTATAGAGCGCGTACCGGCATCATCATTACTGACGATTTGTATCGTGTATGCTTTGTTTCTACCCTTTCGTGGAACAAGCAGAAATAATTAGTGGTCTGCAGAATGAAGTAACAATATTTCGACAAATGTGTCTGAATTTGCAGGCTGAAGTAAGCCGAATGTGATTTTTCGTCTGACCTCCACACTCATGGCTCACTACTTCGTGAATGCTGTCCAATTTGTGCAATAGGTTTCACTTCTGCGTTCGAACACCGCCGTACAGATCGCTCCAGATGCTAGTAGCAATCCCCAGTTACAATATCATCGCCCGCCGCCTGGCATGTCCTAGTCTAAATTGCGACTTCACTCTAATAGAAGTTTTTCATTTGCAATCAATATAGCATTAGCTCATCATCGTATGGACCTATTTAAATGAATATAATTGGCTGTGGTACGACTAGAAATAATATCGGAAGCGTAAGCCAAATGACGTTGATCACACGTTGTGCGATACATAAGCGCTTTAGAAACAGCTGGAAACAAGCTTCTACATGTTACATCGTTTGTCAAGCGTAATAAAATATAGGCGTTTGTCCGCCAGTCCAGTTTTTATGCCAGACAGGTGCTGAATTTCTTGCCGCAAGTCGAACCATGCCATTCGCTCTTCCCCACTCTACCGTGAAAGACTTCGTGTCCACGTTACCATTGCCGTATTGCATTCTTTCATTCATTAGTTTCACAGCATGGTTGGTACCATGCATAAACTCAAAAACAAATTGCGCGGAAGTCTCCTGCTCAAAAAAGAAAGCGCATACGAGCTTAACGACGACTCATTGCGACGAAAGCATACGCAGGACGAGACAGTGCGGGTGGACCGTAGCGCAACATTAACCGACACTGTGAACATGACAGACGATGTAGAGGAAATGTTTTACAACCGCTCCACGGCCACTTCAGGTATTCCGCAATATCGTACAACGGAGCAGATCCGAGGCAACAATTTGGCATTATATGCTTTGCACGAAGACTTCGAGACGCAGTCGACTGCGAGTGACGCTAGTAGCAGTTTTTCACAATTCTCGGCCACAACGCCTAGCAGCTACGCGGCCTCCACACCTGGTAATCATGCCGGAATTCACCACGACTTTTCCACGATGTACAATACGACGAGCACGTTACCTGCCATTAGCGGGGACTTTGACCTGGAGCGTCTCCACTCTGAGGTGTTAAAGATAAAGAGTGAGGTCAAAACGATCCGACGAGAAGTCATGAACGAATTGCATGTGACTCGCTACGATGTGCTTAAGGAGCTAACGCTGCTTAAAGGTGCAATCGCTCAATTAGCATCTACGAAGTCGCTCAATTCGTCCTCGTCCGTGTCGTCCACCGACAGCTCGTCCTCGGATCCGCTGTCAAGCGATGAGCGTGCGGCGCTGACTCGCCAGACGCCCACTAAAACGTCGCAGGCTACGCGTGATCGCCTCGCAGCGCCTCGCATCAATACTAATAAAGCACCACCAAGGGCTATCAGGGCCAGTGCGAGACTTACGCAGTTGGCCCCAGTGGCTGATGACGCTTTATCGACGCCATTAAATTCTCAGCAAATTAATGAATCCTTTCCGCTTATTGACTTTACTTCAGAGCTCGCTGCTCATGCTCGCAGCCTGACTCCCGGTTCTCGCTCGTGGGCACTGACCCGCATACAGGAGTGGCTTGATGCTCGGTTCCACATGGGTAACGATACTTTACTAGCTGTCGTAGGTGAAGGAGGCTCTGGCAAAAGTGCGTTCTGTGGTACGGTGGCACAGCAATTTCGCGGAAATTTGCTAGCCGCGCATTGCTGTCAGTTTGACCGCAAGAGCAAGAGCCGCCCTCGCAATGTGCTGCTGTCAATGGTACACCAACTTGTAGACAATCTTCCTCTTTTCAAGAACCAATTGGCTCGCCTTAATCTCAGATATGTGCTGGAGGAGACGGACCCCTTCCTACTGGCAAATAAAGTGCTCATTGACCCGCTAAATGCTTTGGAAGAACCCACGCACTCGACATTTATCTTAATAGACGGAATTGATCAGTGCGCGACCGGATCGAACGGTCGCAACGAGCTTCTGGAATTCATTTCTCAAATCATTTCACTGCTGCCGTCGTGGGTAGGATTTCTAGTTTCGTCCAAGCCATCGTCCAAGCTCGCCAAATGTCTACCTGTGTCGTCGGTTCTAGACTTTAGTGCCAAAAATGGGGCATTTGTAGCAGATGCATCAAGCCTTGTTGAAGATATTTCTCAATACTTTAGCGATGATGATGCAGTCGAGGCAAAGAGAATGCTCACGAAGAAGAGCGGTGGCAACTTTGCATATCTGGAATTTACCAAACAGGCTTTATCCCACCCAGGCATGGCGGTGACGAGCACAAATGGTGTCGTCCCGCTCAGTGTACTCCGTGAGCTTCCTGAGACCCTGTACGACATTTACGCTGAGATTTTTGAGGATAAGTTTGGACAGGGCCATGCTCGTGCGTGGGGCAAGGCAAAACCACTTTTACAGCTAATTGTGGGCGCAGCAGCAGGTCCTTACTCGCTCGTGACGGAAGAGCAAGCTAAAAAGCAACTTGATCTCAACGCTGACGATCTGCGGATGCTGCGTCGATCGTTCGTAGATATTGTAGCTGTAAAACATGGTGCGTACCGCATCGAGAGCTCTGCGCTGTGCGCATGGCTAAGTGACCCCGTTCGATCAGAAGAGCAGTTTTACTTTAGCATTGAAGACGCGCTCCTTGCTTTACGCAAGATGCGTCTAAATTCATCCAGTGACTCTAGTTCCGGTGATCCCGGCATCTCGTCGGATAAAAATGCGCCTGATCACAACCGCAGGTTGTCCCGGGCGAACAGCCGCGGCAAATTGCCTAACAAGTCGCAGCGTCATGAGCCACGTACCAACTTCGAAAACTATAAACCTGTAGGCATTTTAAAGCGCGGCAAGTTGTAGTATACATGCAGAGTACGTGCACTTTTTGTTGACTGAATAAATATTTGTTGTTGTTATAATTTGAGCATCCGGTGCACTTGACCAAGTCTGTTGCTACTGCCTCCACCTGTGGACGCTCGGACAGTCGACAAGACATCAGCAAAGTTGCCCAGGACTGATCGAGAAGACGAAGAAACTATGCCTTTAGTCGCGCCAGCTTCACGGCCGATCACCTCCAAAGCAGTTCGCAAGTACGACAAAGCGTCTTGAGCGGTCTCTCCTATGCTCAAGATGCCGAAGACGCCAGCTGTGAGACTATCGGCAAGTAAAAAGAGTGTACCCAAAGCTCGGCTCACGTCAAAACACACACCATGAAGCCTGCAGTTTTGGAAGAAGGTAGTATACTGCGTCGCGGTCACGTTTGGATGAAACACATACGAACACACCACATAACAGCGCGTGGCACCTTGAAATATGGCTTTGGTTAGCGAAGCTTCACGTAATAGCAAGTCCATGGCATCATGATTTCCGCTTTGTTCTGCAGTACACGCAGTCTGTAACTTTTTAGTACCAGGCACTCGGTAGATACCGGAGTTAGCGTCCAAACAGCCGCGAGTCAGCAGATGAAAGCATGCGAAGGTTGCAGCTGAATTTGTTAAAAATGGGTGTATCGCAAGGGCCCACAGTCGTACTGCAGCATTAGACTTAATATCTTGGAAGACCACAAAGTCTAAACTCACATAGCCCCAAACATTCGTTTCGGCTAGCTGCTTTCCCACAGCATTGCATGCACCCTGTATGAAATCGATATTAAAATGTTAAATGATATACACCACAGTGCCGATAGCAAGTGCAACAAACCTTGATTGCCGCATGTGGCGCCACTGTTTGCGGAAACGCAAAAATTTCAGACTTTCGACTTAATCCGCCCCTTGTAGTTGTAAGCACATTCTGCGTCGACGTCATGTGTACAGTACCATTCGGATCGACAAAAATATTTGCTCGCAAGTAAGTTGGCTCCTCCATCGAAGCAGCACTAGCTGTTGGAGGAACAGCTTCGATAACACAGCCGAAATGACCAATAGCTGCGGCATATTCTCGCCAAGTCGGATATAATTCGGTGTGTATGGGTGTCGTAAGTCGTGCTAGCTTGCCCGGACGCTCAAATTCCGTCAAAAACAGGTTAGCAGCTGCGTCCCGAGTACCAGGTTGTCGCCAATATTCTGGTGTACGCTTTTCACGGTGCAATTCACGCATCGCTTGCATGCTTGAAAGGTCAACGACCGCTTCGCCTACACCGAGAGGATCGTAGTCAAGCTTGATAAGCCATTTCGACTGGTCGATATGAGCGACAGCAAGTTTGGCAAGTGCTACAGAGATTTCATGTTCATCGTACAACTCATAAGTGCCAGTGGGGACATTTATGTCGGCTTGGATCAATAATCGCTTGCCACCTGATCGTGTGAGCAATGGCAGAGCTTGAGACGGTAGCGCACCAAGTATCGGAAGGTCTAGCGTTATGGCTAGCCGTTGATCTTCAGGACCAGGCAATCCCATTACAAGGTACGCCTCGTTACCAGCAGTGTAGTGTCGGATCCGTCGAAGACAATAGGGCGAGTAGAGTATTAACGATGAGAGTGAAAAATGAGCTGGAAACCGCGCAGCTTGCTCCGGATACACAAACTTCACGCGTGGTCGGCTGTCAGCAGGACCACTAAGTTGTAACAGTTTGTGAAAGTACTGGGAAACATCTGCTGTGAGCTCGTAAGGTGAAACATATACGAGCAGATCCACTTGCAAATCCAAGGCAGCAGCACATATCCGGGTAAGTTGAAGATTCTGCTGTACTGCGAAATTTTCAGCATTGAGACGTGAATGCTCTCCGAGTGACATTGACGGCACATGAACCACAATACGCCGGCGTGCTGCAATCTGTGACCATTGAGACTTAAATTCGTACATTCTTGCCTCCCATTTCGCTGCTTTTTCGCAGCGAATCTCTCGCAATCGAGCTTTAAGGGCTGTACAGCGACTGTAGGCACGAAAAGCAGACTGAATTTTTATTGCGTTGATATTGCTGCTACGAGATTTTACATATCGGTGATGTACCATCCACATACGGGCGCAGGCTTGTATTGTAGTAGCAGCACGATGTTTGCGATCCCTTCCATTATATCGCTGACCCGGGCGCCGCAATACCGACATCACTTGCTCTTTATTTACAATACAAGACAAAAGTTCCCGTCTTGAAAATTGAGGCTGGTTTGTTGATGCGAGTGCTATCAATCGCTGACCATCAACATGAGCCAAAGGAACAAAATATTGAAATAAAATTGCTTCCAGTGCTCGTAGAACTTCTTCAACACTTCCCCAAAGGTCGTGAACAACCCGGCGGAACGAAGTAAATTCGGGCGTGTCTCTTATAGCACGCCCCTTATAAATCAAAATCTGGTGCAAACTATAAGCATCTACTAGATCGTTATATTCACGGATTTTGGCAACGTTGACAGCCAAGTCCTTGGTGCTAAAACCTTCATCTTTAATTATGTCACTGTCGTCGGAACCCTCTTCGTCTTCCTGGTCTTCAAAAGAATGAGTGCAATTATTCTCGATGTCTTCGTTCTGATTCCTTGGGGCAGCTACGACCAACGAATTTCGCTTGGCAGGTCCAGAAGATACTGTCTGCATTATTGAGCTAAATTTTGTGTTGGGCATTGAAGCGGATACCGTGGCAGAATGATTAGGTTTAGGTGCGGATGAAGGTGTTGACGAGGTCCGAAAATCGAATTTAAGTCCTGCAAGGTTGAAGCCTATGGAGTAGACAAGCGGTGTACATCGTGCTGATCGCTTCGACCGATCGTAAATGTAGGTCGCTCGGTGTTTGAGAGCACAACCACCAGAGCCATTACTTTTTCCGTTAGGTCCTGCAAAGGCCGGAGTCAAATCTGCATACGCAGGGAGAAATCCGCGTGTGACTAAGTTTAGTAGACCACATGTAGCATCTTCTTCGCGCAGATCTGGTGTCGGTTCACTTGGGTCAGCTTTGTTAACACAAGGCAAGAGACGATAGTGCTGCGTAGTTTTTTTACGCACACGTCGAGCTCCACTTTTTCGCCGCCAGTTTTCAGGCGATGTCATTAAAGACTGCCGAATCTCTACTCTATTGTTGCGAAATTGCTGCACAGCACTCATTTATCAAACTCACCACTCAACGCAGCGACTGTCATCGATCCTTACCTGGCGGAAAAACTCCATGGAGGTTGAGTTATTATCGATTCGATTTATATGCCCAAATTCATCTGCTCTACTGTCCCCCCTTCGATGCTTTATAGGCGAAGGTGCAGCAACTGAGACAGCCGGTAGACGAGTATTGCGTTGAACCTGGCTATTATGTACACTGTTGCTGCTGTTGATTATGCCATTCAACACGAGCTCTGCCTTGGCTCGAAGTTCCGACTCAGTCTGTTGCAATAAAGCGTGAAAGGCCTGCACCTCAGCATTTGTTATTACTGAACTGTGACGCTTGGGTGATTTGTTGGCCTCCATGGATGCTGCGGCCGCTGTCATCTGCTCACGCATCGCTCGTAGCTGCTCTTGCGTCTCCAGCAGCAACCTACCCACATCTTCTACATGATAATGCTGTTGCACTTTCTCCATTCCGACAGCTTTTGCCGAGCAACAAGTGTCAACCCGCACACTCATAAAAAATTATGAGATGCTGCACTGATCAATGATAAATTTGTTTCATCGAGGCAATCTATCGATATTTATAGAAACACCCATTCATTTTGTAGACGTGAAGAAAGAAGCGATTGTGAATCTAGATGAATATCCTGCGATTGCCTGAGCCCGGCGCGACTGCTTCGGGTGATAAAGCACAACCTACCTCGTGTGAGGGCTACGTGACTAAACGAGGGCACTTTCGAAAGTCGTGGCGTGTACGATTTCTGGTTCTGGATGGCTCCAACCTTCAAGTCGCATACTATGAAAGTCGCGCTGCTTGCCACCCACCTAATGGTGAATCAACTATGCCCAAAGGATCATTTTACTTGTCGAATATTGAACCGCATGAGTACGTTATTGGTGTCATGGGTGCAGCTGATCGTCCATTTGGTTTTAAAATGGTTGGGCACGCTCCCAGAAAGGGGTTTGTTGAGCTTGATGTGTTTGTAGAGACTCAAACTGATCGTAACAAGTGGCTTGAAGTTGCCTGTAATGCACTCAAAGCCAAGCGTCAGCTAACGCGTCAGGCCATCGACCAGAGCGTGAGTCCAAACAAAAAAAAACTGTTCGGCTTTAGCGTCCCATCATCCACACAGCCAGTAATGTCGCCTCAGAAGCAGATGCAAACATTAGCAACATCTAAAGAGGGGCTGCTACTAGAGGCACTACGTGAGATTGAAGCTGCAAAACTTGTTGGTCGAGAGGCTTGCAACGAGATTGTTAACCAGGGAGAAAAACTTGATGTCATTGAGCAGGATTTGAGCGCTATCGACCGCGATCTTGATTTTGGCGACAAATTGCTGCACCGCCTTAAAAGCCCCACTTTGCATTTTTTTTCAGACGACACGCGTCCTAAAGTTCCACTTGGTGATCACCCACACCATTCTGGGTCTACCAGTCCTTCTCGCCTTATCCCTGCCATAGAAATTACCAGAGACGCTGGAGTCAGTGACTTGCAGCGGCTAGCGCAAGCTCTTGGAGAACTTGAGGTGCAGGCAGAACTTCTTAACAGCGAATCTGGTCATAGCTCGCAGCAGATTGAGCGGATCGAGCACCATCTTTCACACGTCACTGAACGTGTCGAAAAACAGACAAAGCAAGCTGTTGCAACGCTGAGTGCCGGACCGCGGCTTTTTTAGCGAGGTTTACCTCAGCAAATTACAAATCTACCTTTAAAGTGAAAATTATTGATTTGATACTTACCCTAGCAATGCTCCCATCGTTTGTCAAGACAGATTTCTTTGTAGTACCATATCTTCAGGTGACTAGAAGATAGGGCGTGGCGGACCGCTCTTGCGATCCATAAAATACTGACGACGCAACAGCTGATGGTGGCGCTTATAGCCCGCTTCCATATCCTGTGTCTTCCAGCGAGCGTTTTCATTTCCCTTTTTCTCAAAATCAGCCGCGTTGACGCGCTGGCCATTCCGGTAGATGAAGCGCTGTACTCCTGTATCTGTATGATTTGAATCAAGTTATCTACAAATGGCTGGATAACGCAAAGCTACAAAACACCTACTCGACTCAGTGCGCGGCGTAATGATCTTAAGGTAGCTAAGCGAAGATTGTGCGCGTTGTATAAATTCAGACACTCTGAGAAGAAATTGCAGAGAACTATTAGATCGGGACAGACAAGAAAAATTGACTTCATCCAGTTACTCCTTGGGGTCCGTCAAGTCTTCATGACAGCGAAATTCACGGCGGATCTGGTCGATTGACGACTGCCGCTTGGACTGTGGAAGATTTTGCGCCAAGCGCAGCAACTTTTTATACAGAGGACGCAGTTCCCGCGTGGCATTAGACATTGCAGATCAAAGACAGAGGTACCTAAATGAGACTAAAAGTCTTTTTGATTTAGTTGAAAATGTAGTATCAGATGTTGAAGGCTCTTTTGGCTTTTTATCATGAGCAATCTGACTATCAAATGTGTCAAGGCACCGGAAAGCCGATTGAGTTCTAACAAATAAGTTGACCACTCACTTTATCATACTAAACACCGTTATCTCACCATACCTATCACCAATATGGTGATGTCATATATATTTGATTCTTAGCAATGATTAATTTACACATGCGGAATAATGTTTCGAGGTACAATATTGTCTCTGTGCTTACATAGAATACGGCGCAACTTTCATTGTGTATTAACACTTGTCCTACTCCTTGTTTCTAAAAATGACATACCCATTAGCAAGGCTGAAGCACAACAGCCATGTCTTCCCCACCTTTCCTAGACACCAAGGCTTTTATTACCGAGGTTGATGCAGTTTTTGTAGACTTGCCATGAATAAATCCCTTCGACGTACTTGATTCCAAGCCAGTACCACACAAGCTTACATGAATTCCCACACAAGCTGTAGTCGACCTGATGATGACCATTAGGAAATTCGGTGTAGCAATTGCGACCCGTGATAACCATCGTATTGTTCAACCAGACCTCGCAAGGACCATCCAGCGTATAGCCTGAAGTCACAAACGAATTATTGGTTGGGATAGGCTGCGTCTCCGTCTTGGGGCTAGTAAGCCCACACTCAAAGATAGCCTCTTCCGTTACCTTGTACAACATATCATCGTCCAGCATGGCGCGCAGTGAATTATAGGCGTGATCCTTCATCCAGCTCTGCACCTCGATACTCGTGTTGATGCCTTGTTCCTCTAAATACGCGAGTGCCATACCTTGAAAATCCAGACCGTCTACGACGTAAAAGGGGGCCGGGTACAATACGACCTGACCCTCGCCCAAACCGGCCTCCAGCCGACGATAGCCGTATATGCAATCAAAAAGTTGTCCAAAGAGTAATAAGAGGACACAGGTACACTTCGCGCTATCCATATTGAGCAAGAAAAATTGCAAAATGACAAGTCCAAGTAGTCAGATGGTAGCGGTATGTATGACATTGTACCGGTATTTTGTACACTCGCAAACAAAATGAAGGCTACGGCCTGACCAAAACGACACCAACATCTTTTTTGCTCTTTACATTTAGCAGGCCAGTCGTGCAGCCAAATTAGGAGGTTGATGTTCTTTATATACTCTCCCAAAGCTTTGCGCCAGACCTTACTTTTTAATCAATATCCCCATGCTTTAACTTGGAAAGTTACATGAATTTTACACCTGCCTGTATTACGGCTGTCGGCGTGGTGTTGCTGGTGATGATACTCACGCTGACAACTCCTCGCAAAACTGCTTCGAGGGAATATCCAGTTGATTTGCAATAATTTCAAAGATTAAACTCGTATAAATCTTTCCTACGAGCGATGAAAGTGTAGACAAGTGGAGCTTGGAGCTGCATTACTGCATTCCGGCATCAAAGCATGGGATAAGTTTTTAGCATGTTGACACAGCGCGCAGCGTCAACCATTTTCGGTCGACTAGTACTCTACTAGTCATACGTTGAAGGTTTTGAAGTTTAAAAATTTTTAAAGCTTCGATCTATCTTCTGCCTCACAATGTTTCTGCTCTCCTTATGCAATCAGCAGCTTTGGAACAGATATGAACCATCATCTACGCCATTCATACCGCAGTTGGAGCCACTAGACGACACTTAATTTTGAATTCATCTTAGCGTCATATTGTTGAGAATAACTATCATGCACGGCAATTCTTGTCTGGGCATCCTTTTCGCTGAACTGAATTCAGCACTCTGACGACTTTTTTTTAACAGTACATGCGTGATGCAATCTTGATTAAGCGATCAGCGAGCACCGCTAACGCCAAAATAGTCTTGAAGCGAAATTTGCGAGTAGGGATTACAAATAGAAAAAAAAACTCTTTTAATATTTCTGAGACTCAAAACTTAAGTAAAAAATTTCGCCTTGCAAATAATGTTTTCAATTTACTGTTAGTTAGTTGATCGCATACTTAACTGACGGTAAAGGAATGCCAACAACGAGCACACCCTGTGAGTAGGCTGCACGTTTCGTTGCTAATCTCTCGATGTCTTGCCATTTCGTAAGAAAATAATTTTTTTTTCTCTCAATGAGAGAAACAGCTGCCGGAAGACTAAGAGTTTTGGTGGGTTTTGATCTTTTCAAAATCATCTCAGAATCTTACTTTCTCTTTAGTTTCGTATGGTTGTTCTTAAAAGGGTTTGGGTAATTACTCTGAAAGCATGCATCCAAGATACACCGCAATAAATCGGCAGAATGCGCAATTATTTAACAGAATGAATGCTCCACAATAATTGCCGAGATCTATAGCTTCGTCAATGGCTCCAGCACACAGAGTCATCTTCGCCGTTGTTCTCTGTAAGAAGTCGCGATTGCGAGCGAATAAATAATGCTACATATCATATCTCGTTCCTTGCACGTTCCTGCTTGAAGTTTGTTGTCTTTTAGATGATAGCGTTTCACGATATGCTGTTTCCTCTAAAAATTCAACACCTCAAGTGGTTTGTAGCTTGGTCTGGGACCGGGAGGTACCGGGTTCGATGCTTATAGGATCCGAATCAAGATAGATCAACTAAAGTGGACGAGCAATCACACCCGGTGTGTGATAAGTGGGAGGGGGCTCCACTGACCGAAAAATCCCCATAATTTAATGAAGGGTACGGGACCCGGTCCCAATATGGGTCGGATAGCTACATTATTCCGCGGTAGAGAAAGCCGTCTGGGTTCCGGTAGCTTAAATCTCTATAAATACTCGACAACGATTTTTCGTTTTTATTGGTATTTAAATCATGGCAACGACATAATACTCTGCTTATGCATTTGTCGTTACATAGAAGGCAGTATTTCGGGCGGCAATCCAAGAATGTGGCGATATGTATAAAAAATTTCGGGGCACGATCAAATTTGCAAAATAAATATATCGATGTTATAAAGGTAAATTAAAGAATAGATTATGGTGATATATGCATGAGCAAGCAGTGCGAACCCGTGGCACGGAAAGACTTTGCAGCCGATTCTCAGCTCATTTTCCCCTTTTAAATAGAATTTATGCAAAAAGCGTCATCACTCAGTGCTAGCCTCCCCTTCAAACCAACCAGTCCTTTTCGGCGTTCAAAAACCGCTAGTGTGACCAAAGCATCGAAAAAAGAATCTCAGCAGACTTCGTTTCTGTCATATGCCCCCACAACTTTCAATCTCCTCAACCTAAAGTTAACCTCGCAAGCAATGTGTTTAAAGGTTGAGGGGAACTACAAGAAAGTTTGTGGGCTTAACCTCAGCAACCACCTCCAGTAGTTGCGCCACCGCTACTTTTCGTTACCTCCAAAATTGTAAGCGACTCAGCAGTCATCGGGTGAATGCCTACAGTGTTAACCATTTGATCGTACGTAAACCTTAACCTCATTGCCAAGCCCATGGCCTGCATCACCTCACCAGCATTCGGCCCCAAATAGTGAAAGCCCAAGACAAACTTATCACGAGACTTATCACACACCACCTTTATATAGCATGAATTAGAAGCTGTGCGAGTCTCCGACGACAATGACCACTCGAGCGGGACAAAGTTCGTGTGATATATTTCAATGTTGTCCTCACCATATCGACCCTTGCTGGTCTCTTCTGACAATCCGCAACAGCCATACTCGATCGGGGTGAATACAGTCGTGCACACCTTGTCATAGTCCATCTGAACTGATGAGTTGTTGTACAAACGTTGCGAGAGCAAGCGTCCCGATTGAATAGCCACAGGGGTCAGCTCAGGGGCGTCAACCACATCGCCAATGGCATAAATGTTGGACGTTGAAGTTTGCTCGTTCTTCACCATGATGCGTCCAGTCTTTTCGTTCAATTTGACACCAGCCTTGTCTAAACCTAAATGAGCAACTTCCGGATCGCGGCCCGTTGCATTGAGAACCGTATTGAAAGCTTCTTCGCAGGTCTTGCCTTTTTCATCTACCCACTTCACTAGAAGCTGTCTATTTTCAAGCCTCGAGATGGATTGAGGGACCGTCTTACGAATGAATTTGATGCCCGACTGCACTTCCATGTACTCGCCTATCTTATCAGCCATCTCCTGGTCGAAGCTGCGAAGCAGAATCGAGCGCACCATGACCTTCACCTCGTAACCCATGCCTTTCAAAAATCCTGCACATTCAAGTGCTACATAAGAAGCACCAATTACAAGGGTTTTACCTGGCTCTTTCTCTTTCATCCAAAATATGTCGTCGCTCGAAACAGCGTATTCCCCGCCAGGACAAGTCAACTCCCTGGGTCGACTACCCACTGCGATAACCACATTACGGGTAGTGATCTGTTTGGTACCTTTGCGAGGATGCGAAAGCTTTACGGTGTGCGGATCAACAAAGGAACCCAAAAAATTCTCATACTTGACATTCTTGCTGCGTAGTTTCACCTTGTATTTAAAATTGATGGTTTTGATATATCCGTCTACATTGGCCACCAATTGCTTCCAGTCGAAAACCGGTACTGTTTTCCCCTCATTATCAAATTTCCAGCCAAATCGAGCACTGTCATGGCGTATTATCTCACCAATAAGAGAACTTTGATGTATTAACTTTTTTGGAATGCATCCAACGTTCACGCACGTCCCGCCAAGTCCCCAAGCCGTGCCTTGGGGTGACGGCTTTACATAATCCAGTACGCAGACCTTTTGTCCAAAAGAAGCGGCCTCTTTAGAGCACGCCAACCCCCCCAAACCTCCACCAATGACTACCAGATCGTAGTCGAAGATCGGCTTCTCTTGGACAGCAGTGGAAGAGATCTCTTGATATCGAGATTTAGGTATGACATCATCAGTCTCTGGTATCGCAACACTCTTAGACGACTTACCAGCCACCTCGTCACTGGTATGCATTCCCTGGGGCCGCCCTACTGCGATGCCAGATCGAAAAAAAAGTAAAAGGTCGTCACAGCCGCCCACAAACGTCGTGGGGTTGCTGCTCCACACAAACGGCGACGTTACATGCTTCATTGCCTTGGATTTAGCACCAAAGCTGACAGCAAAGTCCCCCTGGGATGCTTTAAGCCATACCCTAAATTTTTCCCTGTCCTCAAATAAAAGGATTTTGAAGGCCAGGCGGTCCGGATATAGCATTTGCATGGCGGCGACTATCTCCCGCGCCTTGATAAAGGAAGGACAAGTCTTCCATCCAGCGAGGTAGAACGTAGCCAAAGTATCTGACACGACTTCCTGCGCCTCTAACAAGCTACATGTAAACAGAAAAAAGTAGAAGTCGTTAGTTTGGCTCGGTACAGCGGTAAAAATTGAGACGCACTTCACACAAGAGACCATGAAATTTTAGTAAGAGAAAGTGTTGTATTGGATATATTATTTGCCATATGCACAGGAATGGTAGTGTTTTATAAAAATGATAATTGGGTATACACACGCGGTAAAAATAGTATAGTAAGAAACGATGCATAATCTGAAGCTTGGCCACATTGCAAAGTTGCCGTTTGAATTCTCTACTCTTTCTCATGCAAAGCCTTTCTAACGAAGGTGACTGAAACACTACTACAGAAAATAAATTCCATACAACATTCGATTTTCGATCTCCGCCACACGCCATAGCAGCCAACATTCCCGTATTCGCCAATACGCGCGCACTGAATGGAGTTTGCCCCCACCTCTTTAATGTGATAAGGCAGTCACTAGAGAGCCGAGACGTGGCATACCCGCATGAGGCCCTCGCTCGCTCTACAGATATGCCACAAGCACTGCGCTTATCCCGCTGCCTGGGGATAGAGGCCCTACCGAAACGGGCCACGTACAGTACTTGTGCATGCACAAATTTCATTTCTGTGCTGCAAAAAATACAATTTTGTACAATTATGCAGATGTCATGTCACGCTTTTGTGAAATTGTGAAAAATTTAGAAGTATCAAGGCGTATCATATGAAATCAAGAAAAAGACAGAAAAACTAGCCACATTCAGAAATGTTTTCCTAGATGTGCGATGGCTGATGCCAAGGCTCAAGAGATACAAAGACGGTGAGTCGATCAAATTGTTGTTATTTTCTCGATGAGAAACGACAGGAACTCAGCAGTTCCAATGGAAATCTCACGATGGTAATCACACTTAAAAGCGAAGCACCAAAGACGCTGTGAGAAACGGCACCCACAATCTTCGCTGGCAGTTTGAAGATCGTTTCCAAGAACTTGGTCGCGCGAGTATCGATTTCGGCGTCCATAACAGTATTTTGTGGGTACTATATTCTCTTATTGGACTCTTGCAGCGCTGGTCGCATATGTGAATGCCTAGCATTTCACGCGGCAATTCGAATATTTCATGGTTGATGGTGGCACTTTAGTTTTGATATGCGACAGCAATTGTTTGCAATGTACGTTCAAGTGCGACACAACTACATGATCAAGAAGCAGGCCATCACTTATCCGTGCGTTTAGTATCTTTGACGCATTTTCGGTTCGCTGAATCTCCCTATCTATCTGGGCGTCATCGTGATTTTGCGGTAGGATAACTGTATACCCTTTACTAGGGGTGGACACGGATCCCACAACTCATTCAGTGAGGAAATGTGAAGAAAACGTCTATGGCTGGGAAAGTGTCACTGTGACAACTTTCATCGGACAACACAATGAGTATGGTTCGTCACTCGTTTGACGCATGGGACACGCCTTTGTCGGCGGCTCGTTTATCCTCGGGTTTTACAAGAAATTTGTGAAGAGCACCACGATGTGTAGTGGGCGTGTAAGAGCTGTGTAGTAACGGGAGACGAACTAAATTTTCGAAATGCGCTCAAGTTGTGCGCTGAGATTAATCCAGCCTGCTTCGTCAATTTCGTATTATTTCGATACTACATTGAGACGGCAGCATGCATACTAACGCTCTTGGGTGCAGCACAGTCTAAAACACACCCCTGTATAATCTTAGCAGCACGTTAAGAGAGTTTTCCGTTCCTCACTTTTCATGCAACCAGGTCAAAATCAGTGCACGTAGTCGTTGGCTTGAGTCTGCAGCTCTGGTTCTCGAAAACACAAATAGTTGTGTTTCAACTGTATTCTTGTTTGGGTGCAATCACACCATGCACATCTCGTGTGACACACACACACTTCTGTTACCAGGGTACATGTTACCCCGTCATACCCTCTCCCATTAAGATTGAGAACATTTACCGTTCCAATCGACTATTGCCTCAACGAGGCTTGCATGTCCGCTAGACACTGTAACTTGGTTCGTTATAATTAAACGACTTCCGTGCTCAATGAGCCCTGTTTCAACGACACTGAAGTCACCAAGTATCGCTGGTTCTGACAGCGAGCACGGGCAGAGCCCAACTTCGTCCCCCGCACGCGGTGCGATGTCGGACAGTGCGTCCACGGCACCGGGGGGTGAATATCCTAGGCTCAATAAGCACAAGCATCGCGCTCCGCGCACGCTATCAGTGACGAGCGACTTCGTTGGGGATGTGGGGCTGGTCGACTACGAGTCTGACACCCCTTTTCCCGCATGGGATGACGAAGAAGGCGAGCTGCGCCAGCAGCATGATACGAGCCCTGCTCGCGCCTTGCGGACCCCATGTCCGTTCCCCGACTTCTCGTCAACTGAGGGACGTGGTGCAATCACTGATGACCTCGACGGGGAACAGAGGCGGCAGCTTGAAGCTGCCCATAAGGCGGCTCTAAGGCGCGCTTATCCACCGTCGGTCATTGACCCTCGTATAAAAATCGACTTCCGCCCAGCGGATCCCGCTGTGTAAGCGAAGGACGCGGCAAATCGATCGTTACGCTTCCACATCATCTGCCCCCCGGCCAGAGCGGACGATGAACTTGCCACACGGAAAGCTTTTCGAGCTCGTTTCTTGGCCCCACAAGCATTTCCGTTAGACGTTTATCGCACTCGTCTAAGTGCTCAACGAGGTAACTCTCGTGTACCCGCAATGCGGAAAATACCTGTAGTGCTCGCCCCTGGCTTAAAAGCGCTGCAGATGACGAAATGCTCTTTGAGCGATGAGTGCAACGGCACCTGAAACTTTTCTCATTGCATAACCTGCAGCTGAGCCGTAGGAAGAGGACGTGCGTGTGGAGCGACACCACCGCTTTGAGTTTGCCAAACTCAAGGCACGCCATCGACTTCCTTCTGATTGTCGCCCTGCGACGTACGGGTTAAACCCTAATGCTCCCTCGAGCTCTGTGTCTTCGACCGCAAGAGCTCAGGACCATTGCTTGAGCTCAGCTCATGGCCCGTCTACTTCCCTGGCTATTGCCGGGAAGTGCGGGGCGTCTGATGACTCGGGACGTCCTGATATTTCCTATTAAAAGCGTCCACAGTGACTGGGCAATCTTGCCGAAGTGGCGCCTCAAACTCCCACGAGTTTTTGGAATCGG